GCAGGGAGCAGGGAGCAGGGAGCAGGGAGCAGGGAGCAGGGAGCAGGGAGCAGGGAGCAGGGAGCAGGGAGCAGGGAGCAGGGAGCAGGGAGCAGGGAGCAGGGAGCAGGGAGCAGGGAGCAGGGAGCAGGGATCAAAGCTACCTGGTGAGGGTGCTTCTCTACGAGGTACTTGGCCGCATGCCTGTTCCTCTTCTCGCTAATGATCACGTGGGAAAGATCCTTATCCTGCCGCTGGTGGTACGGCACCTCCCCTATCATCGCCTTCTTCATCCTCTCCTGCTGCGTCTTCTTGTAGCTGACCTCCAGGACCTTCCTTGCCTTCTCCTTCTCTCTCACTCCCTCTCCTCCCCATCCTCCCCATCCCGGCGTCGCCTCCACCAGCTTTGGCTTCGTGCTCTCCATGATCTCTCGCTTCTCCTCCTCGAACTCCGCCTCCATGTCCGCGTCTGCGAATGCCGCCTGCATCAGCCGCACCTGCTCCTTGGAGGGCCCGGATAGCATGGCAGGAGGCTCGGGCTCCTGCTCCTCTCCTTCCTCTCCTTTTGCCTTCTTCTTTTGCCTGTCTCCTCCTCCTCCTCCTCCTCCTCCCTTCCCGACCTTCCCCAAGGTGACGTTGAGATCGAGCATCGTCTCCATCTCCGTAGCCTTCCGCTTCGCCTCCTTCCTTGTCATCCTCTCGCTCACAACCCCATCAGCGTCCTGCGTCGCTACGCGCTCCTTGCGCTCGCTGGCATTTGTCGCAGAGAGCCAGGGGTTCTCTTGCTTCCCTGCCCCTCCCTCCTTCCCCTCCGATTCGCTCTGCTTCTTCTTTCCTTGCCCTGCTGCCTTGCCAGGGGTAGCGAGCCAGGGGTTGGAGGAAGTTTCAGCAGCTGCTGCCTCCTCCTCCTTTCCGTTGAGATGCTTCGTGTCCACTGCCAAGGGAGATCATCGGGGAGCAAGTAACATAAAAGAGCTTACACTCGTCGTTGAAATCGATCTTGAGGCTCGGGTCTCCTCCTGCCTGCTTTCCTCCCCCTTGCTGCTGATTGTTCTCCTTCTTTGCCTCCTTTGATTCTTTCTTCGCTTCTTTCTTGGCACTCTGCATGTTCTTCCCTCCTCCTCCTCCTCCTCCTGGCTTTGCTTCGTACACGACCTCCTTCAAGCCTGTTCGCTCCTGCACCACAAGGGTGCTGCCAGTGGAGAATGCAACCTGGCAAGGCATGTTGATATCATATCATATCATATCATATCATATCATATCATATCAAATCATATCGTATTGTATCGTATCATATCATATCGTATCGTATCGTATCACATCGTACCGTACCGTACCGTACCGTATCATACCATACCATCCGCATCATCATCACCACCATCACCACCATCATCATCATCGTCATCGTCACCATCATTTCAACCTCATAATGTCATTCTCACCTCGTCAATCTGCGTGTTTCCATCTTTCAGAGGACCTGCGCTGCTCTTTCTCTTCTTGTTCTTCTTTTTCCCACTCTTGTTCGGGTTCTCAGCCGCCGCCTCTTCCTCCTCTTCGCTTTCCCCCTCAAAGTGTTTTCCCTGCTCATTCTCCTCCTGCTTCTTTCTCCGCATGCCTTGCGCCCCGTCCTCCTCGAACTCGCTGGCATCAGACAAGTCTTCCCCATCATGCATCGCGTTCAGGTCAGCCAGCAACTTGCTCGCCTCCTCCCGCTGCTTCTCCATGCTCCTCTGCATAAACGCCATCCCCATCACCCCTTTCACCTTCTCTTGCGACAGCTGCGGGCCCAGCACATCCTCTTTCCTTGCCTCGTCCAAGAACTTCTTGTCCTCCTCCTCCTCGTCCTCCTCCTCGCTCTCAGCCTCTAGCTGCTTCTTCCTCAGCCGCTCTCCCATCCTTATCTGCTCCTCAATTGCCTTCCTTGTCTCTTCGTCACCATCGTCCCCGTACGCTCGCCCAGCATGTGCCGCACCCACTTCGAAGTGTTCTTGTGCTTCAGAGTCAGCCGCTCCTCCGCCCTCTTCCTCGCCAGCATCTCCATCCTCTCCTTGTACGCCTCTGGGTCCAGCTCCTTGAGCTCTTTGTCCGCAATCGCTCCCTCCTTCTCCTTGTACTTCCTGGAGACCTTGTGGAACTTCTTGGACTTGATCTTGTTGATCCTCTTCGCCTTGATCTCCGCATGGAACAGCAGCGATCGCATCTTAGCCAGCTCCTTCTGCCGCGCCTGTACGTCCTCCACGCTCAGCTTCCTCAGCTCCAGCTCCTCGCTCTTCTGAAGGCTCGCCTCGTCCGCCCCTGCAGCGCTGATCATGCTCCCTATCTTCTGCTCCAGCGACGTCTGCGGCTTGAACGAGCTGATGATGGAGGAGGCTGTAACGTTGTGACCTGTCGGCATCTTAAGAGGGAAGCTGACATGCTCTGCCTCCCTGTTCTTCTTCACGATCGGCAGCCAGTGCGTCACGGTGTTCTTTGTGTCCTCGTACCCAACCTGTCTCATTGCCCGCTGCGTCACAATCGTGGGAGCTGGGACTGCCACCGCTCGCTTCCCCTCCACCTCCTCCAAGTCCTTCACGACGCTCTTCATTGATTGTTTCGACTTGAGGGGGTCCAGCAAGCTAGACAGCGAAAGCTGCTTCCCTTGCGTCCCTACCCCAAACTCACCCTCTGCAGCAGCTGGCACGTACGAAAGTTCCTGCTCCTCCTTCTTCTTCGTCGCCTTGACAGCAGCAAGAAGCTGCATGTGCCTGTCTTCATCATCCTGTTCCACAACTCAGATTTGAACTCCTCCTTCTCTACTCCTCTACTCTCCTCCTCCACCCTCCTTCAATCCGTCGCCCCCTTCACTCCTCCCCACTTCCGAGCAATGTACATTCACTGACCTCTTCTTCCTCTTCCTCTTCCTCCCCTTCGGACTGTTCATCTTCTCCGCCGTCCTCATTGAAGATGTCGTCCATGTCATCCGACCCTTCAGCCTCGTCCTCGTCCTCGTCTTCGTCCCTGTAGTTTTCACCACCAGAGTTCAGGAAGGCGGCAAGCAACTCATCTCGCTTGCATGACCTGTCATCCTTTCCTCCAAGATCGCCATAACGATCGTAGTCATCTTCACCGAACGCCTCATCCTCGTCGATCTCCTCGTCGTCAGAGAAATGGTCCGGCTGGTTTCAGCAAGTCAGCCCACAGAACCATGTGTCCTCCAAGACAAGACCTGCTCGTATTCGTAGATGTCCACCCCTGCGAACCTCCGCTTTTCATCCTTCTGCCTTCTCTCTTCGTCCTCGTCGCTCTCCTCGTACACGTCCTCCCCGACCTTCTTGTTTCCTTTCTTCCCCATCGATCCGTTTGCCTCCCGTTTCCCTCCTCTCGGTCGCCCTCCCCCGCGTCCCGCCGGGCTCGAGCCTTGACCACTCTTGCCGCCACCTCTCCCTCCTCCTCTCCCTCCTCCTCTCCCCCGCCCCCCGCCTCGCCCTCCTCCTCCCTTCCCTCCGTCCCCTCCTCCTCGTCCTACTGCGCTTCGCTGCTTCACAGTTCCTGCCATAGCGCACGTGCAATGCGGGCCAACCCCTACACTGTCGGAATCTCTTCAGAAGCTTCCAACGCTAAACTCACAAATATGTCTAAATTTTAGATTTAATCATAGTATTAAAACTAATGTATGTCATTTTAGTGTTAATTGTATTTTGAGTGAAAGTGCAGGGGAGTTTGTTGACAGCGCAGGCGACTGAAAACGGGGGAGGAAGCAGGGGAGAGGAGGAGGAGGGAGGGACTGAGGACTGAGGGGAGGGGAAGGAGGTGAACAGAGGGGGAGGGAGGGGGAGGGAGAGTTGTTGAGGAGAGCTCCAGGTGATGTTTTGAGGTAGAGGACTATAGTGCATGTCATGAAATGGCCGCCCTGCCCGCGACCTCTTCAAATTCCTCCGAATGAACTGACAGCATGTTTGTCCTCCAGGGCTAAAGGCCAACTCACCGTCGGTCTTGTTTGATACTAGCATCAACTAGCTTTCATCCGCATCCAACAGCTCTTCAGCATGAGCAGAGCGGATAGCAGCCTGTTACTTGCAGGGGAGGAGGAGCAGGGCCAGGGCAAGTACACCGACATCGATGAAGCGACCCCTTCCAAGAAGCCGCCGCTGTCGACCCTCAGGCTCATCTGTCTTAACATGCACGCTTTCAACTATGGCTTGTTCTATGCTTCGGTCGGCGTGCTCCTGCTCCCGGAGGAGGCCCTGCACATGTTCAACGAGTCGCACGCGATCTTCCTAGCTGTCATGTTGGTCATAGCCGGGGTCAGCCAGCTGATCTCACCTGCAGCGGGGTATTGGTCTGATAGGTTGATCTCTAGAATGGGTCGTAGGATGCCCTTCATCTTGGGGGGGAACTTGGTCTTGTTCTTGTCTCTGGGGTGTATGTATCTAGCAAGGACGTACTTGTACGGTTACACTTACCTGCTTCTTCTCTTCGTGGCAGTCTTGGCTCTCAATGTTGCCTACACTGGCTTCACTGGGCTTGTGTCAGATGTTGTCGACATGTCACAGATGGGATACGCGTCGGGAATCATGGGGGGGTTGACGGCAGCAGGGGCAGTGCTGGGACTGGTCAGTCTGGGCTTCTGGATCCCGCTGGACATGGCGTACGGACTGTACGCCATTGCAGTGGTCGCAACGACGCCCTTCACTTGGCTGTCTGTTCGAGACGCTCCGCTGCCCTTCGACAAGCAGAAACCTTACCTCTTCTCGGAGCTGCTCAAGAGCTACTGGATCTCCCCGACGACCCACGGGGATTTCTTCTGGGTGTTCGTCTCGCGTACTTTCTACTACATGGGTGTTTCCATTCAGATATACATCTTGTACTACCTCAAGGATACCATGAAAGACCCTGAGATCAGCGGCAATGCACAGAAATACACTGCGATCCTATGCATTCTGTCCCAGAGCGCGTCAGGAATCGTCGCTGCGGTCTCCGGCAAGTTCTCAGACGGGATGGGCAGGAAACCTCTAATCTACTTCTCCTGCCTCATCATGGCCTTGGTGTACATCGGTTACTGCTTCATCGATGACTACCAGTGGGTCATCGCTCTTGGCCTCTGCTACGGAGCCAGTAATGGGGTCTATTTGGCGGTAGACTATGCCCTGGCTGTCGAGTGTCTGCCACAGAAGGAAGACCATGCTCGCGATCTTGCGATGTGGGGCATTGCCGCCTTCTTGGGCACAATGTTCGGTCCCTGCGTTACTGGCCCCATGCTGACCATCATCGGTGGCCAAGGGACAAGCCATTATGCATTCCGTGGCTACGTCGCTGTCATGATGACTGGAGTGGTGTACTGTGCTTTCTGCGGAGGTTTCATCTACCGCGTGCGGAAGGGAGAACCGACGTATCATTTTTCAGAGAGCGAAAATGTTTAGATAGATAGTTGCGAAGGTAATGAATTACCTTGTGAATCGGACGGAAATTCGAAAGTAATCTCACCTTTATTATCAAGATGCAAACAAACACAATCTGCCAAAGCTTGCTAACTGGACGAATGAACGAACCAGTCATCAGACTGCTCATTATTTCTTGTGCAATTCACTAGTGCTAGAAATCTGATGGTTCTAATCTCAAGATCCTAAAAACCAAAATGTCAGGAAACAAAGCTCTCAAAGATTGTGCATTTTTCTTGTCCGCAGCTTCCATACCCCCTCACAGTAAGGTGTGCCGATTCCTATACTTCGCAGAGAATATTGCGGTTATGATACCAAATAATATCTTTGCAACCAATTGAAAATCATTCAGCTCACATACGAGAATGGGTTGCCCTTGATCTGGCGCGAAATGTAATCTTGATTGAATCGCGTGAAAGAATGGAACTGTTCTGCGAGCTTGAAGTTCAAGATCTTGTTGTATTCTTCCCTCAGTGCTGTTTCCCTCTGCTGTACCACTTTGCTCACAATGCTTGTAAGCTCCTCGTGCGTATAAAGCTTCTCAGATGGTCTATCCGTATTCACCACGGGCTGTTCGCCTTCGTTCATGTTCTTCTTTGACTGCTGAATGTGCTTCCGAACATATCCATCGATTTCTTCTGATTCTATCGGCCTCGTCGCTGGAAAAGGATTCTCCCTCACACCAACCCCGATCGGTACACCAGCCTGCGCAGCTTTCGTTGCCATCATCTCCGCATACCTCTGTCTTTTGGAGATCTGCAAAAGATCCATTGAGGAAGAATCTGTGCCAAGGTGCGCCGACATGGAGCACGTGGTCGGTAGCGCATCACTGAGCGTTTCCAGATCCAAAGGTCGCTTCATTCCAATCATCGTCATTCTTGGGATTTTGGATTTGTCTGTGTCGATGTTAAATAAGCTTTGATATCCCGTGGAGTTTTTCCAATCAGTCAAGATGAGAAACAATCTGAGCTTATCCTGCCCAAAAGCGTTAGTCAGATGATAAGGTAATTTCCCCAAATGTTTGGACCATCAAAGTTGTAAAGGAATCTTCCGATTCATACTTTCATTTCAAGCCACCAATACCCTAGCTTTCTGCTCTCAGTTCCTCGTGAAACCTATGCAGGCCAACACAGAGACCAATCGACAAGAAATATGAACATACGCTGTAAGATTGGTTATATTTGATATGCTATCGAGGACTACGCATGTACGAATATATCAAATTCCTTTGAACGAACAGAAACAACTTCCTCCATTTGATCTTCGTGTTCAAGAATTCAACAACCAAATGTATCATCGAAAGGTAGACAAGTCTTGCTCACAACATAAAAATTCCAAAGGACTGAATGGACCTTCCTCATAATGAACTAGCCATCAAACCCCCATTCTGCCCTAAACGAGACCGCTTACACTAAACCAGAAACTATGCTGATCGCCTATCATAAATCATGTACAAACCTTTCAAAGAACAAGCTCTTGGCTAAAGTAGATGCATCAGAACTATTACAAACACTGATTCTACTCCTCTCGCGTCCCTTCCCCCCGTCCACTCCTCAACCATGGCCTTGCTTCACTGCACTTCGAGCAGAGGAGCGGCGATGGCGGTAAGAGCCGCTCTTTTGGTCCCACCCTAAAACAACACCCCAGAAATCTCCCACCCCCCTTTTCTCACCATCATATCGTCAGACCCCAGAAAATCATATGAGAAGAACCCCCTTTTCTCTGACAACGAACGGGTATGCGACTACCCCTACCCCAAGATATCTCTGGAACCCTACCTCTGGGTACCCTCATTCAAATTATCAGTACACGCGGTATGGCAGGCCTCCACCCAGGTACGGAATTTAAAACCGATGCATATTACATTTTAATACATTACTGCTTCTTAATATTTTATTTTATGAATGTATCTGCAGGCTCCTTGGTATGATTTTTGTACAACTTTAAAAAACTTTTATCCCTCTATTTTCTCGAGCTGACCTGACCATTTTGAGCTGGGTATATTGTTATTGTGAACATAATGGTACCAATATTTATATAATAATGGATGCATGGTAGAAACAAAGAGTTACCGGGTCCTAACGGTCCGGTACAATCTGTTGCAATGGTACAGATTTCAATGGATAACTGCACCAAAACCAAAACTTTCACAGTTCCCCTCAACCTTCCTGGTGTATCTTTGAAAAAGTGTAGGATTGGTTAAATATCTTGCTCCTCAACATCAGCACAATTTTAAAGAGGAAGTTTGTACCACAAGCATCAGTGCATATCGGTACATTCATGGTACTAATATTATACATATTTTGACAAAAGTTGGATTGATTTTTGTAATAATATTATGAATTCGTGGTACCATTTACTTTCTTGGGTAGCAAACTCTAAACCTGTTCAAATCGATCGTTACAAAGAATTTGCCGTTGTAACTGGCAGTGCCAAACCTGTCAGTGTTGGGCCCGGCCCGGCTTGCCGCTTCCCGGCGGCCGCCCGGTCACCAGCCACCGCACGGTGACGACGGTATCGTGGCACCGTCCGGAGTCCGATGCTGTGACGGTCCGATCACCGGGTCCCGCCGGGCGCGGACGGTCCGATCCGATCATGATCCGATCGGATGACTCTTGAATCCGATCCGCCGCGCCGCAAGGCGGAAGTTCCGAGTTCGGCTCACTTGAACTCAGTGATCGGACTGTTTCAAGTTCCAGCGGCCGAACTAGTACTAGCCGGTCCGCCGAGTGACATGATGAACCGGGCTTCGCGGGTCACGGGGGCACTGGATCGGGCTGCCGCGCCACGCTGCCGTACTACTAGCTACGGCCCGGCCGCAGTACTACCGGCGTGACACTGGAACCTTGGCACTACTGTGACCTGATCTGAGTGGGAAAGCGGTGCCAACGGCGGTGAATGCAATTTAACTAGTAAACGGGCCAAACAATCGGATCGGACGGCAACTTCACTGTCTCAGGCTGCAAGCACTGTCAAGCGAGGTGCTCCCGCGCCGCCGGGGCGACAGTGCGGCGGCACATTAGAAACGGTCCGCTGATGCTGCAGTGCCGGCCCTCACTGAGTCAGCAAGCCTCCGGCTATCGAAAGACTCTCGTAGCTCAGACGCCGTTTCAGCTACCGGCCAAGACTCAGGCTGTAGGATCAGCGCCATTATCCCGCAGTGACTCAGCATGACTACATCTGCCGCTGCCAGTTGAGCAGACCGTCTTACAGACCGAGTCACAAAGCGAGCAGCAGCCAAACCGCGTGTTGAGAGTGCGGTCAGCTTAGAAGAAGTCAGCGATAGAGTCAACGTAGTAATTCGCCTGCAAAGATGTCAGTGGAAGACCTTCAGGACACCAAGCGCAACATGAAGTAAGAACAAGTGAAAGTGAAGTTAAGGAGGAATCAGTGAGGGAGACGAGGGAATAGAATGAAAGGGGTTCAGCAGAACGAGTGGAAGATGAAACAAAGGTGCCTTGCCTTGATCTTGTTGTTCGCTGAAAGATACTTCTCCTCCGTAGTGACACCGGACAAGGTCAGGCAGCTGACGCATCCGTTGCTGTTGCCGAAGACAATGTCCGTGTCCAATCTGTCACCGACCTGCAAGATCACCATATCATCAACCACTATCACTGATGCATCGTAAGTGGGGCACCATGCAGATCCTTGATCGATCGATCTTGTACTTGTCGGCAATGTAGTCGATCATCAGGCTGCACAGCCGTCAGCATTTGAACCTCGGACTAAACGCGCCCTCACGGTGATGGCTTGCCAACAACAGTTGGCTCCTTTCCAGTGCACCCCTTGATAGCGCCAGCCATGGAGCCATTTCCAGCCCATTCCTTCAGCGTTCTCTTAGTGACTGCATGTAATCATGATCAGCTGACCTGCGCGTCGGTCAAGTGGGTGACGGCATCCAAGTTAGTGACGATGAACTGACATCCAGGGTTTTCGTTGATGCACAACTGCCCATCTTGTCAGAAGGATGCCTTGCGTGCTATGCAATGCTGCACTGCCATGTACCTGAGCGTACTGGATCTTGTAATAGTTGATGTAGCGGTCAAAGCCGACAATGACGGCACCAACATCCTCATCGTGAGGAAGAGCAAAACCTGTTTGTAACAGTTACAATGACATTCAAACGTGGCAAAGCAAGCAAAAAGTAAAAATAAAACAAATGCACCAGGCTTCAGCTCGATCGTCTTCGCCTTGTCATTTTCTCCACCAGTCCTGGGGATACAGTTTATCACAAACATCTACGTGTGAGTGCAGCATTGAAAACGCTTGACCCTCTCTTTCACATACAAGTGTGCTCCTCTCTGCCGTCCTGCCATTCTCACCATGGAACGTTGATGAGGTCCAACTCTTCCTGGATGCCTCGCTCGCCGATGATGTATACTTTCTTCCCAGTCTCCTTGAACTTGGTTTGCTCAAGGTATGCAGCTGCTGCAAACGATGAAGAAAAAATCTCCTCGGGATTGACGTTCAGTCCTGTAAAGGAACACGTCACAACCACCCAAATACTCTTTTGTACTTGCCCAAAGAGTCGAACTTGGCCTTGTAACCCTTGCGGCTCTTGGTGCTGTTGTTCGTAACGAAGAAAATCTTCTTTCCGGCTGCTCGAAGTTTCTCGAGCACCTCGGGAACACCTGGGATCAAGCTATCTCCCTTCCAAATCACTCCATCGCAATCGAAGATGAACACGTCGACAGAGTCCAGCATCTTGACTGAAAATCATCAAGAACAAATGAGTCAATGGTCAAATATGCATTACAAGCAAACGACCTGCAGAGTCCGGCGTCAGTTTCATCGTCGTCTCTGGGGAAGCAGCCGACGGCGCTGCCATCATCATCGGGGCGTACCCGCCCCTTACACGGATTGTTGGCCTAACCATCGTCTTCGAGATGGACTGAGCCTTTGAGAGCTGGGGTGCTCGAAGGAGCAGGGGACGAGATGAGACCAGGGAGGAGAAGGCGGTTGCCTGCGCCGCCATGGCCAACAGAACCGCCGCCGACAGAGTCCGCATTGCCTTGATAGAAAAGTTTCTGGTTTGCGAGTGGGTTGCAGATATGACGGTGGGGTACTACAGATACGGGTAATTCCAGGAGAAGAATAGGGGGTAATCCACAGATCAAATTGTAAATATGAGGGGTGGTGATATGTACCCACCCAAATACTATATGACATCTAAGATGGAGGGAGGCGTGAGACGGGGTAGGTATCTGCTGTAAAATAGCTAGTTGACCCGGCGATGCCAGTCAGGCCTAGGCTGAGTTGAAACCCGGAGTACGAGGACAATCGGTGGCAGGAGAGTCGAGGTTGGCCGAAACAGTGTACCGACTCCCCCGGCGGCGTCGGGCCGGGAGTCCTGGTCCGAGCCCGGGATTCCGGCGCCGGGCCCGGCCTCCGGGTCTGTTCCGTGACAGTCACAGTCATTCAAAGTTGAGTCACAGTCACTCTTTAGCCTCGGACTCCGACACTCAGTGAGCCGACTGACCGTACTCGTCACAGTGATGTCAGATCCGGGAGGCTGTCAATGACTCCGCGGCAGTGCGGCGACCCAGCTAACTTCCGGAACTCGGAACTTCGGAACGGTCACCGTTCGTGACAGTGACTTGAAGGCTTGCCGGGCAACGCGGCCGGCGTCACTGCCACTCAGTGACTGCGGCACACGAAACCAGCGGTCAGCCTTGCGCCAAGTTGAAAAATTCGGAACTTCCGAATCAGTGCCACAGTGACGGTCCGGCCCGGCCCAGGCCCGGGCCGCGCGTACCGTACCGTACGGTCACCGGGTAGTACAGTACGGCCCGGGCACGGACGGTCACGGCGCCGCCGAGCCACTGGACCTGAGTGGGCCGCACTGAACTTGACTCACTGTAAGTTACGCCTAAGGGGCGTCACGCTACTAGTGAGTCACTGAACGGAGTCAGGCTGACTGGCCGGGCCCGGTTGGCACTGAGCCCGGGCCGGGCCGCACAGGCGGGCGGCATTGAAGCGGCCGCGGGCACTGCGGCAGTCACTGGCGCATGCTATCCGACTCGGCGGCGATGATATCAGTCGATCCACTGTTTGACTCAGTGACTCGGAAGCCGCGACGATCTCATCCGAGTCAACTTTCCGAACTGTCAGTCGGATGCCGCCGGTGACGGTCACGGTTCCGATTCTCAGGCATAATCGGTTCACCGTGACTGACAATTCCGACTCGTTCCGAAGTTCTGCCGGGCCACTGAGCGGCGTGACTCAGTAGTACGCACTGGCTCGGCCAGCAGGTCACCGGCACTGCAACTTGGCAAGTTCCGATCCGGGTCCGATCAAAAGTGGGTCCGGCGAGTCCCGGAGTCGGCGGCGGCGACTCCCAGGGCCAGCGGCAAGCCTGCCAAGTTTTTCGGTACTGAAGTTGCACCTCATGAAATGGTCTTTACCCACCCCATGCTCTTGGAGCACCCCACCATCTCTTCGGAGTATTCCGTAGCATACCACCCCACCATTACACCCTTCCCCGTTGTATCATTCCTTTAAAGCACCCTACCCCCTTGATCATCCCACGGTGCCCTCCGCATGTCCCGACTGCGCCTGAACTTGCGGCCCCCCCTCCAGTGACCGGTTTTTACTACGAGCTTGCTCATGTAGTAATGAGTACCCCCACCCATGGAGTTATCGGGAAACTCTCCAAGCCAGGAGCAGGAGGACCGGCTAATAAATAAACAGGGACAAGAGGGTACCCCAGAAGAATGGATCTGTGGGGGTGGGCCGTTGCCTTGGGGAGGTGGTGGGTCCTTGGGTTCTGTTCCGAAAAAAAAGTTGGAAGCAAGTTTAGTCGATTTTTTACTTGTGTTATTTGAAATTGTCAGGTTAATTTCGAACAAAGTTTGAAATCTCTTATGTTGACACCGAAAACATGTATTGAGCCCAGGTGGGGGTACCAGTACTTTGACTAGTAGTAAAAGTGTATGGTGGGTAGTTCAATTTCTGGGGTACGACTTGATCCTGGGGTCTGACCACTGCAGGTAGTGTAAATAATAATAGGGGGTAGGGTAGGTGTCACATATCGAGAAAAGAATGATTGAAATCCAGGGTAGGGTGCTCTTCATTCCCATATCCTTGGGGAAAAGGGGGTGTTTTTGACTAGGGAAATACGGGTACGGCGCGGAGGAGATGATCTGTACCAGTACCGGGAAGAGGGGTGGGCCAAGGAATTGATCCGATCGGGGGTTGGGGTGGGAACAAGAGTCGAACCTTTTAGTCAATCATTCGTAATCGATAACTGCCGCATGGCGGGGGAAGGGGGGCCGCGAGGGCATAGTGAGATGAGAAGGAGAGTTGGAGAGGGAGATGCTGATACTTGATACACATCCATGTGTAAATGTATCGAAACTTTTGTGAGAAATATCTCAAGCCTCTCTCAATGAGTCCCTGTGAATTTTGTTTTGGCGTGTTGGAAGAGTTTGATTCTTTGTGATAAGTCGATACGATGTCCAACAGAAATTCCCTTAGAAATGAGAATGCTAGGCGTCTCCCCGCATAATTTTTCACATGGATACCATTGTATTTGTCCGATTGTGTACTATAAGCGCCCCTGCAAGACTCAGAAGGGTGCAATGCATGCTTTTGGGTTTGGAACGATTTGTGCTTGTTTGAAAATGTAGACGCTGCGTAATTTGAAGCTAAATCCCCACTTGACAAATTGGCTTTAGTCGTTCTGAATTAGTTCTTATTGATTCGAATTTTGGAAGGATTCCTGTTCTTCTCGAGATTTCAGTGATTGTATATCCCATCATTATCCTACTCAAAAAAATTGTACACCATATCAAACATGTATCTTCCCATAATGTAAAAGTTGACGATTTGTACAGGAAAAGCAAAACGGCCACCAAGTTTCAGCAGGAGCGGGGAATCACCATGACCGACGCTAGCTTGCCTTCCACCCCCACAGAGCAATTTGACTTCTGTCCAAAGACTTCGGTGGCAGTGAAGCCTCCTGGTGCAAACCGCCGAATGCGAATAGCCAGACCAAACCTGTCCAGCACAACGAGGAAGACGTACAGTGGGATGCGAGATCGGGACCTTCAAAACTGGGCAGGGCAGCTGTTGAGGAGAAAGCTGGATGACCTGATCGATGGAAGAGGGGAGCAGAACGATGAAGAAGATTTGGGCGCCAGAGACCACGAGAACGATGCGGGAGACGAAGGTGGGACACAGCAGAGGACATCGGGAGCTCATGAGCCCCCAACAGCTGCCACCAACACGAGGGTTCACGATGAGGAAAGAGCAAGATTGAATGAGGGGACAAAGAGCTCAACCACAGGCACGCGGAGGGTGACGAAAAGGAGGAGTAATGCAGAAGAAAAGTTGGAAACTAGCAAGGTAAGAAGAAGCAGCAGGTTGCAAAAGCAAAACTAAAGGGAATAACCTGTCATGTCGATTTCAGCAGCGATGTTGAAAGGACTTATTAACAGCATGGCTTGTGTTTCAATGTTTTGCGGTGATGATACAAATTCCAAACTCACATTGGGAGCTGATCCGCTGCGTCAACATGTTGTGCAGGGAATGTAACTCACTTCCCTCAGACACTAGAAGTGCTTTGTCTTAACTCAAGTTAACTCTAGATGATTTCTTAAAAATTAAACCCACCTATTGAAATCCAGCGCTTTTGTGTAAGATACCATTCGATGAAGCCGAGGAAGCAATGGGAAAGAACGCAGGCACACTTGATTCGTACTCGTATGTTTCTCAAACCAACCTACTAGTAGATGCCTAGTCATGCTTCTATTCCCCCTCTCTTGTTTTCTCTTCACTATGTGCATGCATCATATTCGAACTCATCTTTCCTCCAATACACCACTCCTCTGCACATCATTTTCGCATCTCTCCCCTCACGATCTCCTTCTTCGAACTCCCTCCGGTGCCCTGACTCCTTCCCTTTCCCCTTCCATTCCCTTCCCCTCTTCCCTTACCCCTTTTCTCCTGCCAGGTTTCCTGCCAGCTTCCTGCCAGGTTTCCTGCCAGCTTCCCGAGCTCCCCAGTCTTCTCTACACCAACATCCTGCCTTCCCTCACCTCCCCGCCAAAATTCTACCCCGTCTCTTCCTTCGCCCATCCTCCGCCCCCCTGAAGTCCGTGTTTCCCCTCCCGGCAAGTGTACCTCAAATTTTTTATTTGCCCAAGGTACCTCCTCCCTGCGGTCCGGGCCTTACCTTGCCGATCCCTCCGTCCGCCTCCCTGCTCCCTGCTCAGCTTGCTCAGTTCTGCTTCCATCTGCCTACAGCTTGCAACCCGAACCCCAGCATCCCTCATCCTTGGCCTTGCTCCTTCATACAGACCCTTCCACCCTGATCCGCAAAAGTCGCATCTCAAGATGCGATGGCTACTGCTGCACTTGATCCGAGCTTGTGAAATTGGACGATCAGTCTCAGCAATATCTGAAGAACAATGCTAGTGCTCCTTGCTTGCTACCAGATGCTCAAGCTTCCTCTGGCCCTGATGCTGCTGCTGCTGCTGCTGCTGCTCGCAGTCACACCCACAGTTGAAAGAACTCCAGTCCTGGCCGTGAATCCGCGGAGCCATGTTCTCGCCTCCCTGCGAGGGGTTGCGCCCTATCCTCTGTGCTTGAGTGCTAGAGGAGGGACGGGGCTGTGGGAGGCGAATGAAGAATTCGAGAAAGAGCGGCAGAAGGTCATGGAGGAGCGGGAGCAGAGGAAAAAGGAGTTCGAGGAGCAGTACAGGCGGGAGGAAAGACAGAAGTTGCAGGATAGGTTGTCCAACATGACGGAGATGGACTTCATGAACTTCACTTCCCTCAAAGATGAGGCGTTGAGGAATATGGAACGAAATTCACCACGAACGGGGCTTTCCGTCGAAGGGGACTTCAAGCCCTTCGTGGAGCTTCTGCAAGCCAGCGAGGACGAGGACGAGGACGAGGACGAGGACGAGGACGAAGGCGAAGGCGAGGGCAAAGGCAAAGGCGAGAGTGAGGGCGAGGGCGAGGGCGAAGAGGGAGAGCATTGGTTCACCAGCGAGATATCTGTTGGTCCTGACGACGTTGCTATTCCCCTTGCGTACCCGGTAGAATCCGAGAGCGACGTGGATTCGCAAGCTTTCGACCGGGAGGTCCCGCAAGAGTGGGAGACGCTGGTGGAAGGCGTGCAAGCAGTGAAGCTGGGCGGCAACAAGAGCGTCGTGCCGGTGAAAACATCTCTGGAGGTCTACAGGCGAGTAGTTGAGGAGCACCCACCCCCAGCAATCAAGCACGGGTACCTGTACGTTTGGGGCCTCGGGTCCTCTGTCACTGCAAAGGACCTGGAGAGGGCGTTTGCTGGTTTCGAGGGGTATGTCTCCTCGACGATCGTCAGTGATCTTGCCATGGACCCTCGTATCGCCCGCATCCAGCAGGTGTGTCGTGCTAGTGCTAGTTGGTACAACCACACCTGCACGCCCGATATGAACAGGACATTGATCGAGGAGAATGTCGCGAAGTTCAAAGAGAAGCTGGAGGGGGGCAAGGCTAAGGAGCCCCATATCACCTCGGAAGATCTCAACGACGAGTTTCTCAACGACCTCTTGGAGAAGGACGGGAGGGCGAGCACGGCAGAATGGATGGCGCAGCATGGAATAGAAGGAGGAGATTACATGGAAGATGAAACGCCGGAGTTCAATTTGACCAGCTTCGTTGGCTACGAGGTGAAGTCCTACGCGCTGATCGAGTTTGCCTCCTCGAACCTAGCTCGTTCTGTTACGCTCCAACAGGAGGGCCTGGAGATCGCAGGGTCGAACGTGTCGCTTGCGCTTGCGTGGGACGACGAGGGTCTCATCATCAAGTCATTGGAGAAGATCAAGACCAGGGTCGACGCCATTGGGTTTCTCCACCAGCTCCTTCCCTTCCAGATGCTCGATGCCGACAACACGGTCACTGCCCTCCTCTACCTCTGCCGCAAGAGACCGGACGCCGAGCTCAACGTAGGAGAGCCCTTCTATACACGGATTGCAAGGCTCTGCAGGCACGGACCAGACCCTCCCCGCCTGCTCAGCCGCATGTACCAGCCCCACAACAGGAAGCTGTGCATGCAGCATGAGATCGTCTCAACCCTCCTGACCCGCGCGCTGGAGCTTGCACCCATGATGTCGACAGATTCCATCTCCACTGTGCTCTACATCATCTCCCAGATGCCTGTCTTCAAGGTCAACCTCCCCGGTGGGATTGACTTCCGGACCTCACTTCCTCCTTTGGAGGAGGAGAATGAGATCAAGATAAGCGGTGGACCGGAGACCTATGGCTGGTCGGCGCTTCCCTTCAAAGTTTGGCACAGGCTGAGCCGCATGCGGAATGGGGCAGGGCTCGACATGATGCTGAAAAAGCATCAGGCGCATATCGACAACTACAAGTTCTCGTGGCGCGGGCAGAAGATTGGTGTGAGCTTTGGGAGCAGCCTTGAACCGAAGAATGTGAGGAGGAGGAGGGACAGGTACACACTGAACCCATACGTGCCGGGGAGGCTGTACGAAGGGCACAACTTGGTGCAGGCGGGCTACATGGGGAGGGGCGGGCCGGCGCTGGCATTCAGGAAGATGATGGGATACGATACAGAGCGGGCCAAGTGTTCGGATGAGACGCTGATGAGGATCGCGAACAAGACTGACGCGGAGATCAGGAGGAAGGAGCGGGTGAACTGGCTGCGATCAATCAGGCACATGTATAGACTGGACAACAACACAGCGGCGCTGGAAAAGGCAAAGGAGATGGGGTTGCAGATGTGGTCGGAGCTGGTGACGGAGGGAGAGCATGAGAATCGCTGCACGATAGACAACTTGTGGTTGACCGGCTATGACCTGGAGCAGGTCGAAAAAGGTAATGACCCCGACGAAACGATCGGGATGTGGAAGCCAAAATATGACATCACCGACGGCATCAGCGACCCCATCAAGGGCAGGTCTGCTATGGCGGCGAGAGCGAGAGCAGGGGCAGGGAAGGGAAGAGCTGGGAAGGGATGGGAAGGCCAGAGCAGAGCACTGCAGGGAAGAGAATGGAAGAGACAAGGGGGGGGCGGGAGGAAGTGCAGGAGAGGGAAAGATCTTCTTGTTCGTCTAGGACTACTGTCCTCGTCTCCGTGGTTCTGGTCTGACTTGTGCCGGCAGGTGGTTGCGGAACGAACGTCCTTCCTTCGTGGAGGAGGACAGACATATGCACAAGCTGATGCCCAAGACGACTGAGATTGTGCTCCGCTCGTTTGTGGAGGCGCATATGAGAGGGGAGCCCATGGTATGGTGTGTGAATGGGGTGGCGTGGCCAAAGAGCAAGAAGTTGCTGGATCGCATTCTGAGGGAGGGAAAGAAGAAGCAGAAGAGGAAGCGAGTCTCCGCTCTGCCGCTGTCTAGGTCTGCATGCCATGCATCCATTCCATGGTCTGACGTTGAGGTCAGCGGGTTGGACAGCGACGAGAAGCTGCAGGAGTGGGTGAGGGCGACCCGGGAGAAGGACATGAAGAGGAAGAGGAGGCTGAGGCGATTGTTCGGGAAGTCTTCGCCGGACAAGTCCGAGGCGAGGAGCAGGAAGCTGCTTGAAGCGAAGCTCTACGCCATGGCAAAGCAGGCGAACTACACTGTGCAGCCTGGGACGGAATGGAAATTTCTCCCTTACGTCAGGAAATTGAGGTAAACGACTTGCATTCCTGCTGCTGCTGCTGCTGCTGCTGCTGCTGCTGCTGCTGCTGCTGCTGCTGCTGCTGCTGCTGCTGCTGCTGCTGCTGCTGCTGCTGCTGCTGCTGCTGCTGCTGCTGCTGCTGCTGCTGCTGCTGCTGCTGCTGCTGCTGCTGCTGCTGCTGCTGCTGCTGCTGCTGCTGCTGCTGCTGCTGCTGCTGCTGCTGCTGCTGCTGCTGCTGCTGCTGCTGCTGCTGCTGCTGCTGCTGCTGCTGCTACGTTTACTGACCACCATGCTAGCGATTCCTCAATGTGGAACATCACCTACGATGGCTTCAAGGAGATGGAAAAGGATGATGTCAACATCCTGAGGCTTCGGGGGTTCGGAAGCCGCAGCTTCAAGTTGGAGACCTTGCGACTGAAGGAGAAGAGTCGAGGACGAGAGGGAGAAGAAGAGGACAAGAGGAGGAAGGAGCATGTCTTGAGGATACGAGGAGGAGGAATGAGCTCCCAGTTCGACCCTTTGTCCCAGTATTTCAGATCCTTTGAACCTGAGGAGACGATGGAGCTTACCGGGATGGAGGCGGAGGAGGAGCAAGGGCTGGAGGAGGAAGACGACGATAGCTCTTTCGAAGCGATGATGAGCAAGCAGCTTGACTGGAGGAGGAGGATGCAAAACTCGACGGTATATAAGGAATACTTCCTTGGGCCGGAAGCATGGGACGAGAAAACCAGGAGAGTAATCGCATGCTTGGAGAACGCAAGTTTTCCTATTCATAAGGTACTGGAGGAACACGAAACGAGTGAGGAGGTGGCAAGGAGGGTGGCAAGTAGTTGGGAATGGAACAGGAGGAGAAGGAGCAGTTGGAAGCAACCATATTGCAGAAAGGAGAGGAGCAGGAGCAGGAGAAAGAGGAGCAAGAGGAGGTTGTAAGCCTGAACTGCATGAACAGGTGGAGCTACAGGAGGTTCAGGAGTTCCATGAAAACCTGTCATCCTGCGTGAGGGGAATGACGGTGCCTGAGTGGGTGGTGATGAGAAAACTGAGGGCGAGGAGGAGGTACAACGAGGAGGAGGAGATAAGGAGGGCCATCAACAACGAGATGTCGAGCTCGGACGAGGATTTCAACCCTGAGGACCTCGACATGTCGATCAATCAGACTGAGTTGAAACAGTTGGTGCTCAACGAGAAATTCCTCCAGGTCCTACCTCCTCTTCCTCCTCCTCCTCCTCCTCCTCCTCCTCCTCCTCCTAAATCATCCT